GTGATTAATGCTCAAACCTCCTCCGTGTGAGAATAGGCTTTGCTCAGCAATGGGCATTTATAGGCTATTGATGACTGGATTGGTTTTAGAAGTCGAATGTTAGTACTATATTTAGTGCCTATAGTTTCATATTATTGTGACTCTATTTAGCTCTGTTTAATCTCAAGATATATTTTAGAAAACGGACATTAAGTTCAATTGTAATCGTAATAGGATTAAGTCGGTATTTTTCTTACTTCCATTTTTCTTTATCAAGATGATTATCATAACACCGATTTTCTTTTGCATCATATCAACCCGCATAGTCCTTCTTTGTCTATTTTACCTTCACTTTCTTCATACTTCTAAAATACATGCAATTTCAAAATGTAAATAACCATAACCAAATACCATTTTACTCTCACAGTTTGCAGCTTATTCTAAGCCTGAAACAGCTAGTGCAGGTCGTAAGTCGACTTAATTCATCAAATGCACGACACACGCTATTTGTCATCAATCCCTCTAGCCCGGGTTATTTGTCGCTATGACAGGAGTGGGTGGGCGATACACATTGCTGCTTTGAAGTTTCAACAATCGATCGGGTTGAATTTTAAGTTGAAAGGGTTTTTATTATTATATACCTAAGTGATTGAGGATGAAGAATCTAAAATAAAATTGGTTATTTAATAGTTTTTTATTGGGATAACTCGGAAGGAAGAAAAGAGAAGTATGGTTTATGGGAGATGGGATAATAATTTGAATGTCCTTCTTATCAATTCTTCTGTTATGCTTATGTAGGTAGATATAGCATTGAACCTGGTGAGTGGAATAAAGGTTCAAATGACTTGTACATTGTCGCTTTTAATAACTTTGAAAACACTTATCAGATACTAAACGAGCAATCTATATCAACACAAGCGATACGATCACATTGTCCTCACACATTCTATGCATTTTCGAAATGTTGGTGCTATGTCAGCGCTATCTAAACGTTTTGATGCATGACTGCTATGTTATGGTCACCGCTCGGCAGTGAAACTTGAGCTCAGTCAATAGCCCCCCCATTCGTATATGAATACACGGTCACATCACTACACCAAAACGTCTTTATCGCTGCATTCATTATCCATTGCTCGCTGCCAATACAAGCAACGGAACTTCTCCAAATTAGACCCAGCAATGTATATCGTATAAATTAAAGTTGTAGTTGGTTTATTTGATTAGAGTAAAGGGTTTTACGGTGCATGTTGTTGAAATGTTGGTCCGTGGGCGTCCTGATATATGTCTTGTGGTCTCTATGTTGTACCCAAAGGCGCCATAGTACAAATAAATAGAGAGATCTTTGATATAGATATATTTGTAGTACCTATCTGACGTGTGTGGAATTGTATGTCTTTATGTTAAAAGTTTTGAAAGGGCTTACCAACTTGTGCTATATTGTGTTGAGATACATTTGTGAGTATAGAAATGGGAAATAGTTCTTTGTCACCATCAAATTTTTTGCTTCTTGCTGTCGAAGATTTGGTTATGTTTCTTCGCGTCATAAATTGCTTAAATTATGCAACTAATTTAATGGTAAGTCATCTATTTAGTCTGCCTCATTGACCGAGTGGTCGCAAGTGCGACTGCCGGGCAAGGGGTCTCGGGCTTCGATTCCCGGGTCGGGCAAAGTATTACTGGGTTTTTCAAAATTCACAATAGTAGCACGGAGTCTGAAATTGTTCACGATGTGAATGGCAGTAGGGGTCACCCCCTATTATATGGGACTCATAACATAAATAGTGAAAAGTGAGTGTTACATTGTACAGTGGCATAATGTACACCTCTGCCTAGTGCCTACCCATTCGGGGATAAAAGGCGTGATGTTATGTTGTTTGTGTTGTCGTCTATTTAGTAAAAGATTAAAAGTTAATTCAAATCATTAATTGACACTCATTTGCTTGTGAAACAAAAACTAGAAATATACAACATCACTGTTCTTGAATTCCTTTTCAAATTCATCACATATTGCTACACAATTTTGAACTCTATCAACAGTCTCCCTTAACAACCCAAGTCAATATCTATACCTAAATTATCCAAAGCACATGTTCCTTTGTACGCCACGTTACCAATTAAACTGTCTGGACAAGTACATTGCAATGGCGTAGTAATTCCGCCTTCAATGTGCATACGACGGCTGTGTGTTTTGGCTAGCCAAAGGCGACGGCTTGTTGACGAAACCCACGTCCAAAGCATTCCCACACTTTGATTTCAGAAACCTCTTTATCTCCTACGCCTAGAGTCCATTTTCCATTATCATGGAGCTATAACGCTCATGGCATGGGTTAATTCAGGTGTTCGTGTGTGCGGTGCGCTAGATTAGTGGAATTTGGACCTTAGGTGTGAGGTTGTGATCATAACAGATGTTATGAGATTGTCAAGTTATCTTAAGATCTTCGCCATAAGTCTCTGTAACCTGTTGCAGTTCATTTATGAATTTACAAGTCTATTTCGTAGTGCTTATTGATTATTTTTATTTTTTAGTGTCGTTACCTTTGTCATTCACGTTTATTTTTCCTCGTTTGTTGGTTTTCGTTTTTTCTGCTTTAAATCTAGTTGTTGTGTAGTAAGCATATTCCTTATAAGATATACAGATTGTGCAGTGATCGTTTCATTTACCTCTTGGTAGCTAACATGATTAATGGCCAGACCAAACAAATTGGAAAAATTTCTATCTAAATCAGATCCTGTATTTTGGTACATGTCTATCGTATCGTACCAAGCAATATCTTCTCCTGACCTGTCTTCACTAGTCACTGTCAGGACAGTGTTGACACTTGAAGTGACCGATCTTGGGAACATGCCTTAGTGCTTAAGCTCCAGTTTCAATGGACACACGTCCATCTTTATTACAGCACCACTTAGCTTGGATTGTAGGTTATTTTAGTCTTAATATTTGAGTAATTAGGATTGAATTTGTTTTAAGTAGCTACAAGTTTTACCCTACTATCAATTACAGTTAACGGTATATAACAATTAACATTATTATATTAAATAAATTATGCAATAATATTAATTTATCCTGGTAATGCCTTTATTGTTATGCAGTAATCGCATGAAATAATAATTGTTTTACAAATGTTTGTGAACAGCCTGTGATCGTCTATTGCAGCTGAATTATGAGTCTCCTTTACATAAGAGCGGTTTTTTTGAGGGAAAAATCATTGAATAACTCCTTACAACTTGGGTAAGGAGACAAGAGGGAGTGTCAGACTCTTACTGACTAAAACCATCCCGTTCCTACTTCCTCTTAATTAAGACGTCTACGGCGTTTGCCATCGTGAATTGTAATTTAAATAGTATAGGCAATTTTTTTATAACAAAGACTGCAGTTGTTTAGTCTCTGTGAAATCTATCGTCCCTTAATCAGCACACAAGATACCCGCTGGAAAATAGGGGTGGTGACAATATGTGTTCGTCTCTATCATTTCCACAAGGTTTGATTATAGAATAGAATAGAATAGAATAGAATAATTTATTTGCATTGAATGTAGGTACATAATATAAGGTGTTACAAAGGTACATCGTTCCTGGTACATTCTACCATATGGCATGCAAATTTTTGTTTTTTTTTTTAATCTTAAAATCTATGAACATTGTGGACTATAATACCTACTATGTAAGTTATCTATAAAACTATTATAATTATTAATGGATAACATAATCCTAATAATATTTGAAAATTTACAAAATTCACAAAATATAGCTTAAACAACTTACAGCAAATCAGTCTATATGTTATCGAATAAAAAATCTGACACAGAATAGTAACACTTTTGTAATAACAAAGATGCAAGTTGATTATTATAAACTTACATGTATTTTTATGTGTAAAGTTCTTACAAATAATTCTTATGTAAATAGCTAAGTAATTACAAAAACACACAGTATACTGAAGCCTT